AAGGAACATCAAATTGAAAAAAAGTCGAGAGGGGGGAACAAAAGAGTGTTTCAAAGATGTAAGAGACAACACACAAAGGTAAAAAAGGTGAGGTGAGTACTGTGAAAATGAACAGACTCAGAGGTAGAAAAAAGGTGAGGTGAGTACTGTGGAAGTAGACTAATATGCCATACAGTGGGTCATGGTAGCTAGAGTCAACTGAAGGTAGAAAAAAGGCGAGGTGAGTACTGTGGAAGTGGTGAAATATGACATACAGTGGGGTGATGGTAGTTTGAAGTCAGAGGTATATGACATACAGTGGGGTGATGGTAGTTTGAAGTGAGAAATAGGTAGAAAAAAGGTGAGGTTAGTACTGTGGAAGAAGTCGACAGTAGAGCAAAGGTGAGGTGAGTACTGTGGAAGGGGTCGAATTTGACATACAGTGGGGTGATGGTAGTTTGAAGTGAGAAGTCGAAGAGAAAAGGTAAGATGAGTACTGTTGAAGTGGTCGAATTTAAGAAAAAAGGTGAGGTGAGTACTGTGAAATGGTCGAATATGGACAAAGGTGAGGTGAGTACTGTAAAAATAGTCGAATATGATATAGAGTGGGGTGATGGTAGTTTGAAGTCAGAAGTCAACTGCCGATCAATAGACTTTTTGCAAGTCAGAAGTCAACTGCCGATCAATAGACTTTTTTGTCTTTGAAGTCAGAAGTCAACTACCGTACAGTGGGGTCATGGTAGTTTGAAGTGAGAAGTCAACTGTAGGTGAGGTGAGTACTGTGGAAGTAGTCGAATATGACACAGTGAGTGAGGTGGTGGTAGTTTGAAGTGAGAAGTCAACTGCCGGCTTATAGACTTTTTGCCGTATGAGAATACGTCGCCCAGGGTGCACCACGTGGGCTGGTTGGTTCTACACTCATAGGTCGTAAGGAGACAAATTCAACACTGACACTTCTGCGTTATTTCATCCATCCAAGTATCAAAATGAGAATTACCTTGCAATATATCACCTCTATTCGCCTAAATGAAAAGCACTTAAAAATATAGACGATGGCAATAGTGTGTTCACTATATATGCACTTTATGGCTATATAATTCGACGAAATAATCATACCCTTATATTCTTAATATTAAAACCTCGTGGATACGTAGCCCACAGTAAGCTTCGAATAGAGGAGGGAAAGTGAAAACCATGTGTTTGCGGAGAGTAAATAAAATGAGTACGTCTTATGCACAAATTAGCCTAATAATTGAATGTCAGCGGTGAGCGTAAATCCCCATACCATGAACGGGTCAACATTGATCGTAGAGGTAGCAGATGCATTAATCGCACTCAGTTTACACAGGCAGCCAAGTATGAAAGTAGTTTACCTTAAAAGGATTTAAATTAGGACTTCTTCAAATATCAAACTGTAGGTGAATCTGCAAATTAGATGAGGACACTTTAAATTAATGGAGTGAACAACCGCAATGGGTTAAAGAAATTATTCATCGATGCTAAACTCTCCTTTGTTTGGGTGGAGTATCTGATAACTCCTTGTAGTACGCTAACGATTACTTGTTGTTCTGGATGCTCCAGGGAGACTTACATAGAACACAAGACTAAAGCGCTTCATTTTGCAATTTTCACAACTCCATGCCATATTCTATCTACTCTGAATTTGGGATAGGCTCATGCTCGTCTTTGGTCTCATCAAATTTGTACGAGGATATTTTTGATCCCAAATTGGACGAACTCTTTAAGTAGTTTTGCTATGGTTGATGTGGGGGGGGGGTGTGCGGTAGACTTATCTCCATGTGGTGCACCCTGGGCAACGAATACTCATACGGCAAAAAGTCTATTAACTGGCAATTGACTTCTGACTTCAAACTACCATGACCCCACTGTATGTCATATTCGATCATTTCCACAGTACTCACCTAACCTTTTTCCTACCTTTGTGCCTGTCTCTTTTACATCTTTGAAACACTCTTCTGTCCCTCCCCCTCTCGACTTTTTTTCACTTTGATGTTCCTTCCCCCTGTGAAGCCTGAAGTCAATTCAAGGCTGCTGATAACTATTAAAACGCCTGCCATTTGATATAAATAAATAAATATTGGAGATGTAATCATTCTAACCGCATTTCAAAGTTCGGGAACAAATCTAATGCAGTGCCCTCTTTGGATTACTAATTAGTTATTGTATACCATCATAGATCCCAATGTAAACAAGAAATCAAAATTTACCTCCAATTGTCCTTGCAGTTTTGAGGACATCGTCATTACTTGCTACTATTCCTAATCAATAACGTGACTAGAATATGCATAGTGCAATTCAGGTGTAATTTGCATTTGAAGACAAGCTACAAATAGTTTTGTTTAAATATACATTTTGGTGCAGTAAAATCTAATGAATATCACGATAGTGAAGGGGCTTTGTTTATATTTAGAAAGTCTAATAAAAGCGAATAGAGTTACTGGAAAGTTTAGCACAGGTAGACTTAAAGTTCGGCTTTTGCACCGCAGAGTTTACAGAGTTCAGACGACCAGGAGTTGGGTTGAATTACGGGTGGTTAGAGCTATGTTGGAGGAGTTAAACATTAGGTTATGAGGGGTGCGCAATAGACTTACCTCCACGTGGTGCACCCTGGGCAACGTATACTCATACGGCAAAAAGTCTATTAATCGACAGTTGACTTCTGACTTCAAACTACCATGACCCCACTGTATGTCATATTCGACTACTTCCATAGTACTCACCTCACCTTTTTCTCTACCATTGTGCCTGTCTATCGCTTTTGCATCTGTGAATCACTCTTCCGTTCCCTCTTTCGACTTTTGTGACTTTGATGTTCCTCCTCCTCTCTGTGAAGCCCAAAGTCAACTAAAGGGCTAATGATAACCAACATAAAGCCTGTCATTTGATATAAATACATTAGGTAATGAGAAAGTTAGGTGTACAAACGAATCATCGGAACAAAAATGGCTTGGCGGTGTGTGACCACTAGGACTATTCGATCTATGAGTCATCGTGTGTAATTAAGCAATACGGTCAATTCAGCCATGGCGTTTATGGAAAAGTGCAGAACTGACTGACATAAAAAAGGATTTGCCAAAGAATCTGCATCTAATCAAGCGCATCCAAATGCATAATACTTATTCATACATCAGCGGTGCAGTGGTTAATGGACATACTTGAATCTGGACAGTAAAACCCCATTCGCCTGCTGAAATATGACATGATAGATGTGAGAGAGTGCAAGATCGCCATTAGAAAAACGCTCCACGATGCAACCCCTCTATTGCAGATGAGGGTCGTCAAAGTCTTCACTTAAAAAGACTTGGCATGAATACTGACTTATTCAATCCGAAATATTAGCACAAAGCTGTTAATGTAGTAAAGACGTACGAATTGATGGGAGGTTTTTATCATCCTCAGAGCTAATGAAAGTAAATCCATTGAGTCTCCGCGCCCAAGTTTCTTTTACATGAATTGCCTTGGTTAGTTTGGCTTGAGGCATTGTAACAATCATTCCAAAAACTCGAACCTTCTTTGCCAGTTCATCGGCTAAAGTCCGGTTATCTGTAAAATTCAATACCATAGAAGTGCTGATCATTATTAAGATAAATAATCCAAATACAAGCTGCATGGAGGCTTACGGGAGTTGTGCGGTATTTTAATGCCAGACAAACCTTGAATTCGAGAAAATAGCATGTGGTACGCTATATTGAAAACGACCATGCCGAGGATTACGAACGCGAGAAATAGGACAAGCTTCGACAAAGGCCATCTCATTATTTTCTAAAATAAAATCGATAACAGTAATGTTAAGGCATCTAAAAGTTATCGCCCCATGGTACTAAGAGTTTTTCAATGGACAGCTGGAAGTAATAGCCTTTAAGGATTGAGAAGACCAACAGATGTGTTTGAAAATTTTCCATTGGATAATTGTAAATACATGCAAGAGAAAAAGATTGTGATAAACACGTGAAGTAAAACAGACATTAAATCTTTCTGCGTTCCACTTGATGACTGTTGGATGAGCAATCAATAGATGGCAATTAATCCGGGTAGATATAGGAGCCACTCGAATAAACAAGGCAAGCCCGAGTCAGGGAGTACAAACACCGTTAATCCTTTATAACAAAAGTTGAGCGGATTTGAAAATCCGTGAATACGTAGCATAGATTAAACGTCAGTGTGATACAAAATCAATATTAAACATAATGTAAATTTGTTTGCAATAGAGGCCTGCAAGGTCATGGCTTACAATTGGTAGATAAATCGATGGAAATAACAAGGTTCTGTAAAAGGCAATCAGTTAAACGAAGACAGTAAATATATGTGATATTTATAGAAATTTTTCCCAACTCTCAAGGGTTAATTTGATAATTTAAACTTAATATTCTTCAACTCTGTTGTTTTAATCGAGCGCCTTCATTATTGATTTCCATTATTTGTTGCCCTCCTGAGTATTTCATTAAAACTGTTTATTATTTCCACATGATCAGTTGACATTTGTATTACAAAAGTGGGTTGGACATGAAGATGCTCAGTTTCAAATAGGGCAGTATCCACCTTCAGGATAAGTAAATGGTTCACTTCTAGTGGAAGAATAATTTTTAAGGTAATTTGAAATTAGTGTACCGATTTTCAAGAATGGAGATTCAGGTTCTATTTTAGCATCATCTCTACATTTTCTACGGTTCAGATGTAAGCCTTCTGATGTCAGAAGAAATCAAACATCCGAAATTGGACGCTTTTACTAAAGGAGTGTTCATTCTATTCCCCATCTTTAGTTTGGCAAAGGGTTTGGCCTTAAGAAGTTATTTGTCGTCGTTTTGTAACCAGCTAGAACTTTTACAATAAGAAGAGCATATTAAGCTGTGTCCACTAGCGGCGAACTTCAATAATATTCTTTAATTTGCTTCAGTTTTGCATTTCCAAATACACTTGTGAAGTAGTGATCGATTAGAAGGACTACCAAGTTTGGGATTTGGGGTTAGCTGTTCATCGATGCTTATTGTGGGAATTATCCCCTTTAAGTGAATTGATGCAATTCTTAGTGAAAATCGCCCTCTTACTAAAACTATTATTATTTTTATTTAAAATGACAAGCTTTGTGATATTTATCACTAGCCCTTAAACTTTGGCTTCAGCTTCCCCCAAGGGTGGGGGGGGGGGGGGGGGGTACATTTATAGCAGTTAACTAATAGCAATTCATTACCTGTCTTCTTGCTTCCAAGTATCTCTGGCTTTCCGTCCTTGTCTTTAGGGCTGGACAACGAATCAGGTGGGTCTTCTCCATTTCCTCCTTTAGATTACATAGAGGGCATGTGGGCTGAGTGTATACTCCCAATCTGTGAAGGTGTTTTGCCAAGCAATCGTGTCCGGTACGCAGTCTAAACTCAGCAACGGCTTCGATTCTTGGGCATTTGACTATGTCGGAGAGTGCCACTGTCCACTGTTTCTCCTTTGTTCGAGCTTTGAGTTCGTTGCACCATGAGGTCTGTAATTCTCTCCTGATTAAGGCCTTCATTGTGTGGAAAGACATCGGCCGGTCCATGCATTGCAAAATCGTTGTCCCCTTCTTAACAAGTGCATCAGCAAGCTCATTGCCTTTAATGCCACAGTGACCAGGAATCCATTGTAGGACCACTGTTTTGTTTTTCTCTCTCAACAGCTGATAGAGTGAATCGATGCAATTCTTAGTGAAACTCTCCCTCTCTCTTCCTATAAATATTAAGCTAATTGAATCGTAGGGAAATAGGTGTCTGGTAAACGTCGTCAATAAGTTGGATTAAGTATCTATACTGCTAATAAATAACGATTTTAAAATATCACGTATGTATAAATTCTCAACAGGGATGGGTTTTCTATTGCTGTTGAAGCGCAAATAATTTCTTAAGTCACTGGTTTTACAGTCATATTTCTTCCAGTATAAAATTGTACGAGGCAAATTAACGACCTCGAAAGTGAAGTTCCGTCTGATAAAATGTACATGTCCATTAATAGATGTGGTCAGAACAAATAGCATAGGTAGAGAGATGATATCCAGTACCAGCTGCTAGGAAAAACTCCCATTCTACCATTTTTCTTGCTGTCCAACGTTAATCAGAATTTGCGTCGTTGGGGCTGGGACCCTGGGGTTTCCGACTTTGCAGAAGTGCAATTAATCACTCCTCCTGAAAATAAGTTTATGTTACCTCATCCCCACATTTAAGGTCTGGGGTGTGGGATAGACTTACCTACTCGTGGTGCACCCCGGGCGACGTATAATCTTACGGCGTATATAAGGTCATATAAGGTCTTACTAATACGCTAAGTCGACCACTTTCGGTGAGCCGAAACTAAACCAGTAAGCTTCGTTCTCCCGTACATGGAATTTAATTAAATGAAAAATTTATTTAAATTACTAGCTTTCCTCCACCCCCTTCAACCCCCCACCCCCCAATCCCCACTCTAATACGTGTTTGACAAGTGACTTCGACACCACAATCGACAGGGAATGAATTTGTAATGATTAAATCGCAATTTATTCAGAATAGTGCTGCATCTTGCTCTTCTAACGCCTATTTACTCTTCACAGCCATCTTTCCGTTGTTTTGCAGTCAGGTGTTACTGTTTTTTACTTCTATTTTTATTTCAATGCATTTTGGTGCCTCTCAAAGCTTAAAAAAGGAAGAGATTATGGCTTAACAAATTGCAACTCAGAAAAAAGTACGATTTTCATGCAAGCGAATTGCAACTGTGAAGATTTCCATTTTCAGCAAATTACTCACTTTCTGCTCAATTTATGATATATAAATGGCGGGTTTTATGATAGTCATCGTTAGCGGTTTATAATTAAAAATGTTAAATTAAAGGCATTAGAATTACTTTCTATAATGAGGAGTGTGCGATAGACACCTTCGCGTGTTGCACTCTACGCAACGTATACTCACACGGCAAAAAGGTCTATTAACCGGCAGTTGACTTCTGACTTCAAACTGCCATCACCCCACTGTATGTCATATTCGACCATTTCCACAGTACTCACCTCATCTTTTTTCTACCTTTGTGTCTATCTCTTTTACATCTTTAAAACACTCTTCTGTTCCTTCCCCTCTGTGAAACCTGAAATCAACAAAAGGGCTAATGATAACTATCAAAACGCCCGTCATTTGATATAAACTTTCTATAATGAAGCTAGGTCTTATCGCGACATTGTCATATCTAAATATTTTCCAGTCACTACACAACTGGAAAGCGTTGAATTTTTTAAGGAATTTTATATATTTCTATGATAGAGCGAACCTCGTCCTATTTGATACGATCCCTGTATTTACGGCGAGTTGTATTCCTTACCGTATTTGTCGTTTTAGCGTTATATTTAACTTCCGGTTTATGGAGTGTACAATGCTGTCATTGCTGAACAAAGGAATCTCATACGCGCTCAGGCAGACACTTAAAGTTGCAGTTGGGCTGCTTGACCATAGAAAACAAGTGAGGTCGTGAGTGAAGAGACCTCTCAGTCATTCACCAATCAATAATCCCATTGAATAAAAAAACCTTCATTGTATCTTAATGAGTAGTCTCTGTGGCAGACACTGAGCCAAAATAAGCCTTTTTTATACAATACGCTGGGGAAGGGTGGAAGCCATTCCAAGCCAAGAGAGCTTTCCATAGTGATTACTGAGTATTAGTTAAGCTTATTAATGTAGAATCCCGCGACAAGTTCATTTGATTCTTGGTGTTTATTTTTCTTTAAGCCTCCTACACTGGCTAAACTTTATTGCTCTAAGTACCCGATTTATAGCGTGTGGAGGGCACCATGATAGCACAACTGACCAAGGAAACCTTACGAGCTAGATTACTCTGAAAAGTGCGTCGTGCTATCGATCGCGTCCCAGGCAAGCACTGATATGCGTGCAAGGGCCCACCAGCCAATCAAAAATCCATATTCGTTGCGTTAATTATGCTCAAAGTCGCTGAACTTTTCCTTTTTTTCCGGTAAATTCTACTCATGTTATCTTCTATTTTCTCTCCACTGTGATCTAGACGTAGAACATTTTTTTGAGAATGTTTAAAGGCTTGTTGGAACTTGCCAATGGCTAAGTTGATTCATAAGGAGGTTACTGAGGTTTAGCCAAGGACATCTTTGTGTAGTACCCTCTGCTATCACACAGACTTGCCAATGAGTATTTCTGAGACTAGTTATACTAGAGAGTGATATTCTAAATTGTAATCAGATGAAGCGGCGTATTTACGCTCATGATAAAAAGAGGAGCTGACTTGGATTCTCCGCCACCTCGCTTTCTATCCCTAAGTTCTAATGCCACGATGTTCTTTAAGTTACCACTTAATTCACCCATTAAGCATTAACTGGGAATATAATCACAACAGTGCCATTCACACTACGCGAGTTAACTAAAATAAAATAATCAGAGATAAGACCCAATGTGTGATCAATGAACGATACATAGAACTTATGATAGAGTATTAGGGGAACGATGCGATTTTTGGCTCATGATTTACCGCAATATCCACTTGTGACTTTGCTACTACTAATACAGTAAACATGACAAAATCTATCGCGAATATAACTTAAGCTGCCTATTTCAGCTTCCGAATCGCTCTCACTACAATGCTTAGTGACACCTTATTTGAATATGGTGGTCAGTCTTGATGCTTCAATTCGCCCCTACCCTTGAAGGGCGAAATAACAACCGAGATGAACCCTGACCATTTTTATAAGTGCTCCCGCATATCCTATAGCCTGCATAAAGTCACATACTAATTTACACATTTATTCATAGTTAATTGAGACTTATTTGAGTTAAGCTTCATAAAATATCCGCCATAAGGTACCAAGAGGGCCCCCTCACCTCATCGTAAATACTGGTTATATTTCTTACATATTGTGTTTAAATGAGCTGTGCTCTTGTGCGTTACATTGAATGGCAGAACTTCATTTTGGGGATGCCTATGACACTTAAAATGCTCCGACAATGTCGCGGCTAATATACTGCCACAAATATTCACTAATTACAAATTGAAATAACGGTCATTTAAGACGTACCAAAATTTCTTTCAATTCGTCATAACTACTAACCAGAGACAAAAAAATTATGACACATGCTATCAAAATGTGGGAAATGCACTTTGACCAATTATGGGAATGTTATAGCACACAATAGACGAAAATTACAAACCTCATTCCTAGTGAACTTAATACGCATCCAAATAAAATTGCATTCAGATCCTCCTACTCGCCAAACTTCCATTTGCATCGTCTATTCAAAGCCCCCTTAAGGGGAATCATAGGAGCAAAGACACACGCATACAACCATTCTCTGTTTCACATTAATATGTTACAAAGTAGTAGTAATATGAACAACACTTCTTTGAAAGTTAAAAGGAAAGACTATGGGAAGGAGAGAGCGAGGTAACCCATTTAGGGCTGGTTTGAAACTGGTTTGGCGGCAGAAATAGGTGGTTTTTGGAAGAGTGGTTTGCCTTGCTTCAAACGCGCCAACTCCTTGTACTGCTCCAGATCGCGTGCAATACCATAAGGATAAGCATGGTAGATGAGATAATCCAATGTGTACATATCTTGGGGACTGATGTAGTGGAAAGACACCGAGTGATCACTGCAGCAATTTAAACCCTTTTAGAACCAAAGAAAAGACGGAAAATCGGCATCAGATGAAAGACAATTAATGAATATATGAGCATTAGAAAGTAAAGCGTGGAATACCTGTTTTGCACCAAAATTTCGGCTTTATGTGCCTATCCTAAGCACCATGTCAACGTACCACAAGTTAGAAAAGCCCTACATATTGAAAAGCCACACTATTAAGAGCCAAAATCGTGTCAACGAATACCAAGCAGCAGCTCATAGGCCGGTTGATAGACAAAACAATCAGCTCGAAGCACAGCAGACATGGACCAACATCTGGGAGCATAGGATCCTGTAGTTTGAATTTCGTAATACTAGGAAATTATACAATTAAGTACCTCACAGTTCTGATTATATGGTTATAGGCTTAAAAGTTTAGGACACTGAAGGAGGAACTCTGTGAGACCTCGCCTTTTCTGCATGCCGTCATACTTTATCAGCTTTACATTGTGCAAGTCATATTCAGAGAACTATGCTATCATCTATTCGGTTACCAGTTCGGAGTTTTAATGAAGCAACACCTCGATAATACAACAAAAATATAAGTGGCTGTATGGCCAATTATATTATACGACTCTTGTAGCAGGAGAAATTTTGTTTAAAGCTAACAGGACTCACCAAATCTTGAGTATTTCTAATATCCTTTCTATTCTACCTCTACGCGATTTCTGCATCATCCTCAACTTTTAGCTCAATTCTATTGGTTCTTATGTTAAGAGGCTTTATCAAAGCAACGAGTTTTACAAGTTGTGAACTCTGTTATGCTATGAGTAATGGCAGGCATTTTGCTAAAAAAATTCAAAAAATCGAAGCAAATCCAATTAGATTTTTCCATTTATTTCAATTTTAAGCTCATTATTAAATACCTTTTCTTACATAATATTGTCCCAAACCCGCCAGCCATGATAATCATGAAATAAAAATTTGACTATCAAAGTCAATTTTCGCAGAAAAAATAACAATGAATACTGATCACTTTGCAATAAAACGAGAAGTTTGCTTATTCAACCGCAAAATTTACTATTTACTAACTTTAATCAAATTGAACCACCCACGTTGGACCCCATTTTGCACAAATTCGATACCAAACTGCACCGCAAATTCAAGTGCGTATCATTCAGCGCCGCGAATAAATAAAGTACAGTTGATTTGGTGAAAAAGCAACGCACAAGTCGAGTTAATAGTAGTAGTAGTAGTAGGACGACGGTAGTAATTGAGAATATTAAAAAAAAGTACTAAACCAAAACCTGGAAAGAGCTACAGGTTTCAAGCAAGAGAATTAAGCTACCAACGTTCACAAACCCATATCGATTTGCCCAAGTTTCAGCAAATACACTGTTAACTGGATAGGAAATATTATGTTGAATAAAAGAAAATTCACAAAGAATTTCGAAGATTGAATTCAGGGCACATTAAAGCAATCCGATTCATCAAATTAATTCTCCAATAAAAATTTAAAAGTGCGATAAGAATAATGAAAGTTATTTAAATAAAATCATTTTTAAGGACGACTAATTGCATACCTTAGCAAGAAAGCACCATGTCAAGGTTTAAAGAACAAAGAGGAGGCGATAACCAATCAAAATCAAGAAAAAAATTACAAAATTGATGGCTCATGTCATCAATTTTAAGACAAAAGATGAATTGATGAGGTAAAACTAGCTACCATAACTTAATAACCAATTAAAAGCCTTGGATTCTCTATGCAGGTAGCTGCATACTTGAATTTTGGAAAATAAATAACTGCTCTTATCAATAATTATATTTGAAGTTAGCCGTTTTCACTTGCACCCACAGTCAAAAATTAAAGATTGCTTTGCATTATTGCTGTTAATAGTGGTAATGAACCATCAAGAAGTACGTTCAATTAAATTCAATGAAAATAAAAAACCACTCACGGTTCTGATAGGATAATAATTGTATGATTGAACCCATCCGGTACGTTCCATTGCATTCTTATCGAGCATATAGCCGGGATTGAACGGGTGGAAGGCTTCTTCACCGTGTTCATCCAAACTATCGACCATCTTCACCCCGACCTCCTCTGCGCAAGCACCTGAAAGAATTTGAATGACAGCGGAGTATAATTTGAATTTTGTAAAAAAATATCGTCATTTTCAGGAGCTTATTAAGATTATTCAGCATGATTTCCCCGGGAGTTAATGAATTTTCCTGCACTTACAAGGCGCCTGGGAGATAGATACAATTTTTCCATTTGAATTGAGGAGACTAAAGCTCTAGGAGACCAATTGTTAACTTGAGTCCAGAAAGAGATTTTATGACGAAGTTACATTTTAACACCCATTGTTGTTGCCAGGAGTTGACAATTATGGTTTGGCAATCACATCACTGAATTCGCATGGATGAACACACATTTTATAACCTCCGACTTGGTAAACCCACAAGTTAACTCAAATAACGATGCTCCACGGGGTTCTCCTACTATTTGAACTCGGAACCTTTTATATGAAAACGCCTCGATAATTGAGTTACATTGCGGGAACCAATATGCTTAGATCAACTTTTGAAGTCAGTCAAACATCCGACTACAATGCCTCAGCCGAGCTAGTTAACTTCTTCAATTGATCTCATAATTCTTCGAACTCAGGTCTGTTTCCATTGCCAACGAGATCTTACGTATAGAGTTATTAACGCATATTCTGAAAACCTGGACTATATATTAAAATCCGGGCGAGTTGTATAAGAGTCACCAGCCACCCAACTCAATCAACTGATCATGATGGAAAATAGGAGAAAGTCGCAAAATGCAAATCAGGGGCATTCGTATAAAACACAATACACTCAACTCTCATTGGCGATTTCACTATCACCTTAACACAGATGCCTTCAACCAGTTCAAAGCTTTCCCGTAAATTGTAGAACAAATTAATTCTTCCTCACTTGTAAGCTCAAGAAAAAAATTGTGAAAATTGGATGACCTCAAAATTACATAAAATTAGTTTCTCCAAATTTTGTTGATGAAAAAAGCGATGAGACAAGATGAATCAAACCTGAAGATGGTGGAACCATTTCGACTCTCAATTCCACTGCTCTTTCTCCTTTTCAAAACCTAACCACCTCTTTATAAATCTCTGGATAATTTCGCATGGTTAGAAATTAGGGGACTATAATGCTTCGTCAAATGGCCGGTTAAATTAACACTCAAATTCTGTATTATAATTTTTTACCTCAATATCAATGTAAATTCCAATTAGGAACTGAAGAAGGATTGCAATCAACCTTGACAAACAAATGTGAACACGAGGACGTATTCCGATGGTATTGTTGAAAGACGTCTTGCTGATGCAGTACAATTTACCACAACTGTGCGCCATACAACATGTTATAGGCATATTTTATAAAGGGAACTTACCAAGATTTACATCCTCAGCACCACCTCGTTTACGACAGCTGGAAACCTCCTTTTCCATACCCTCAGCGATCATCTTGAGCGCTGCACGAGATACAACATAACCAGCACCACCGGATAAATAGCCTTGTCTAACAAATTTCTAAAGTAATTAAGTAATAACATCAGCATAATTTCATTGAAATTTTGCAGAATGCAAAGCGGATATAGTTAATCTTCGTGTGCGCTCAAGGTGTATAAAGCAGAGTAGAGTTGGTTTAATATTATTGCCTCCAAGTGAGGTAA